CTTCTCAAATTCATCCCGCCGAAAATTTTTTAAAATAACCCTTCACTTCTCAAATTCACCCCACCAACAATTTTAGGCCATTCCAGCTTGTTCCCGGCACAGTCGACCACTCTCGACACTACCATTACAATGCCCTCAACCCCCACATCAAAAGCCCCAACCTCCCCGCCTAATTGAACCCCCCAATTGTCGGCTGCTACTCTTAGTTTCAATCGGTGTTTCATCCAAATTCTGACAGGTCCTGGCACTGGAAACCACCCCTGACAGCACCAATAACATTATCGGCTTCCCCCCCACCGAAACCCCCAACATCATTGATCGAAATTGCCTGTCGATTGCCGCTGCTTCTCCCTCAGGTTTTCGCATGTTATCGCGCCATTCCAGCCAAATTCCAGTGCACTCAAGTGAAAAAGTTAAGGTTTTTGGTGAGGAGGATAAGGGGATGTTGATGGTGGTGTAGGGGAGGTCTAATGGTGCTGAAATCAGTCTGGATTTTTGGCTTGGTCGAGATCTCCTATAGGGGCTATTGGAGAGAAATTTGAGATGTGGAGGTTATTTGGAGAGAAAACTAACAATGCTAATTTAAGGGTGAGAATCTAAAATTTATGAAACCATGGGTGGGAACTTGCAAATTCACCAAACCTTGGGTGGGAACATGTCGTTTACTCTCAGAAAAATGAAAAACTTGGCCGCTTTGATTTGTAATTCAAAAATAATTTTTGAGAATCAAAATACAATTCAAAATTTTTAGTTGTATTTTAATATTTGAAAATATATCTTATATAAAGTTTTAAAATTAATTTTAAATTAAAAATTGTAAAAAGCTGTGAAAACAACTTTTAATCTTTCTTTAATATTACATTAGTTTTCAGGATTGTATTCGAAAAAATTTGAAAACAATTCTACTCATTTTTAACAAACATATTTTCATAAGATTGGTTGTATACCTTGTTTTAAAAAACCAAATAATTGTATTTAAATTTTATATTAAACGGACCCTTATATATCTTATCGTCGTTATTATGAAGTAATATTAATACTACTTTGCATTATATATATGTATGATAAATAAACTATGAATTAGATTTATGTTTTTTTTTTTTTTTTTTTTTTATTATAATAATACAAAAAGCAACATGAAAATTTACACCTTGATTGCACATAAAATCTAAAATAAAGAATTATATAATATGTATGCAATTTATTAAAATAAGGTTGCGGTGATGTGGCTTATGACTTGCCACGATGGAGTCAACTCTTTTATTGTGATAAAGATCAGATTGTTTGATAAGAACCAGCTCCTCATTTTGTGTCCTTCGGTCCGTATCTTTTGCAACCATCTCATTCTCTCCTTACACCTCAATAGAAGCATAGGTATGAAGAAGATTTTAGGTTGTGGTTCATCTCACAACTGTGGAGAAATCCAATACAGGTGGAGGCTGATCTTAGGAGTGACTCTTGTTTATAAATCAATCTTGTTGACTATGGAGAAAAGATAGAGCATTCATAGGGGAGCCTAGGGGTTTCTATTCAAGTGTGTTCTTTCTTTGTTTTCTTATCTGTGTTGAAATTCTCTGTACATCTTGGCATTGTGATTAATGATATTCTATTTTGAGCGTTGGAGAGTGGATGTAGGCCGCAAAGCCGAACCACTATAAATTTGTTGTGTCTCTTACCTTTTGCTCTTTCATTTTGATTTATATGCTTTGAGTGATTTGAGTTAGAGTATTCTGATTTTCAGATCTGATTTGTCATTTTGATTCCATTACTAAGCCATTTGTGATAATTCTATAAATCCTAGAATCTTAACAAAGGTTAATTATGTATTTATTGTTAACATAATTATAGATTCTAAAATATTAATTACTTTTACAATAATCAACTCCAAAATTTATAAGTTGACAATTAAATAATTTCATTAATACTTTTATGAAGTTAAATTTTTCAATAAAAAAATATACAATATACATAGAATAATTATTTCTCTAGTCAGAACGTCTTGGTATAAGTTTTTCTGGACCATGTATATACTGGATTGTAAAATATCATTTCAATCCAATATAATGAATGCAATGGTGAATACGTGTATCCTGACACTAACAGAATTTATATCAGGACATTCTAATTAGAGAATGACTTTACAAACATGAATACATAGTTGAACTTATTTATTTATTTTTGTTAAATTAATCATAAAAGCAACATGAAAATATGTTATCATTCTTGCATCATGGATTCATGGCTGCACATAAATATAAGAACTATACTTATATATCATTTTAGAAAACTATCTGAAAATATATTTTTTTTAGATGAAAAATAAATGTCACATATAAATTGTGAATTATATTTATTTACGTATTTGTTATTATAATTATAATCCTGAAAATATAAACTTTGATTACAGATAATTTTCCATGATCCAGTTGAGCATAATTTTGAAATAATTTAATCATTTAGAAACATACCATAAATAAATAAATGTCATAAAATCCCCTAAATAGTCATGCAATCTTTAAAAGAACAATCACAAAAATTGTTTATATACATATATATTTGAATTAATATTTTAGATTGGGTTATTTAAACTTTCATCCTTAAGATTTAAAATATATTACACTTATCTCTAGTATAGGATACAAATAGTTTAGCCCCGTTAGGAGAAACTTTTCAATCAAAAATCTATAGTACCCTTATTTTCTAGTTCTCATGTTAATCGAAATAAATAAAATATATATTAAAAAAAAAAAAACCTCTAAAAGAAGTTAATTTTTTTTTTCTAAGAGTAATAATTAATGTCCAAATATAATATAGATTATTTTTAGCAGATTATAAAATCTGCTTAATTTCACAATAATGCAACAATAAAAACATCATCTGATAATCACCCATCACAATTCTAAACACAAAAAATCATCAAAGCTAAAACCAGAGTAACACAAAAAAATTAAAACATCCAACCTTTTATTTTATTTTATATTTTATTCATTCCCAATAATGCGTGAATAAGATAATAGAGGTATTATAGGCTTTTTATTTAAAAATCTCACTTGATTGTTGATGTGGTATTATATCTTATATGTATCGTGAATTTTACATCATCAATAATGCGTGACAATTTTTGCTATTTGATTAAACTTAAAGGTTATTTCTCAACCTTTAAGTTTAATCAAATAGTAAAATTGTCATTGAAATTTCAAAAAATAGTACAAATCTTTATGCTTTAATGAGTAACTACCTAATCGTTGTTTTGTCATTTATTTTATTATCAAAACTTAATGGTAGAAAATTTTTGTTATTACTATAACTATAAGGGAATTTGTGTTATTAGTTATACTTATAGGAAATTATTGTAATTAACCATAATTAATTTATATTTTAAAGTATTATAACATCAGATGCCTTATGAATTTTCGAAAATTAATAATTTATTTATTAGAATATTGTAAAGTGTTACATAATACAAAACAATCCATATATATATATATGGATAAAGATTTTTTTGCAAATATTAAACAGAATAAAGATTATATGAACAAGATGCTTAATTTAATCAATGGCATGTATTAATTTAGGTGGGAAAAAAATTAGCCAAAAATAGAGGGGGTTATATTAATTAACCAACTCTTCCAACACCATACGTCGATACACATATAACCAACATATCCAAATCAAATACCAAAACTACCTTCGTCCCTAACCTCCCAACACTTAAAAAAAAAACTTTATCCATTTTTAAACTTTCACAACATAAACAACACCATACCCAGAAGAAAAAAAAAAAAAAAAAAATCACGTCAACCCAGCTTTTGCACAATTCATTATCTAGTTTGCATAATTTTCCACGCTAACTGGTTAAATTGCACTACATGTAGTAATTTCATTTTCAAGGCCAACTCAACCTTAACACTTCTAAATATAATCAATCACAACAATACCCACCACAATATGACAATAACAACATCCATAAAAACTTAAAGAATCTCTAACGATTTCTTATTCAAGCAAAAAATTCGTTCAATTATCTAAATTTCATCGTTTAATTTCTTCTCCCACCAGAAAGTCTATGTATTTCAACAAATCTTGTCACTTTAATCAAGAATCTATAGCCATGATTGATGTTGCATCCTACCAAGAACCATAATTTATTTTCTCTTAAAGGATAGAATTCATTAATTAATATATGGATAAATTTGTCATTATAAAATTCATTAATAAGTGAGGTTTCTTTAGTCTATCAAGGATAGTGAGGTTTCTTTTTCTTATGGGGGGGGGGGGGGGGGGGGGGGGGGGGGGGGGGGGGGGGGGTGGAATTGTAACACTCACATTGAGGTACGTAACTCTACTTATGTCTTAATACCCTTAGTATTATGTATTCTAAGGTGAAAGATTGAAAGCGTTGACATTTTCACTTTTCGCCGCGGCAAAGGAGTTTTGTCGCCGCGGCAATGAACTCACTGCCCAATTTGTGTGTCAGAAATTTTGAACTCCACTGAGGCAAAGAAACAAGTTTGTCGGGGCAAAGAATTCTCCAGAATTTTTGATAAAATTCTGGAAAACTTGCTTAAGGACAAAATGGTCATTCCACCCATAATTAGTTGAAAGTGTGCGGAGTGAAAAGAAGTAGAATGCAATGGAAATGAGGATATTATTGTAATTGACTAAAGGGCAAAGATGGAATTTCATCACCCACATCGAGGTACGTAACTCTACTTATGTCTTAATGCCCTTAGTATTATGTATTCTACGGTGAAAGATTGAAAGAGTTGACATTTTCACTTTTTGCCACGGCAATGAACTCATTGTCCAATTTGTGTGTCAAAAATTTCGGACTTCGCCGAGGCAAAGAAACAAGTTCGTCAAGGCAAAGAGTTCTCCTGAATTTTTTATACCAAAAATGTAATAAATCTTTATAGCTAGTATACTTTGGGAAATATAAAGTGAAACTCACTAAATATGTCATAGAAAAACATATATGTATATAAGGTAGTGGGCCCAAAAAAATAACTTTACTTTATATACAAATCTCTATGTCGAGTAACAAAGTTACAAACATAAACACTTAGTACAATCAGACAGTGTTGCCTTTCTTCTCTATTACCTGACGTTCCATCCGACCACATCTTATCTAATACCTGCAAAAACAGTAAAATTCACGGAGTGAGCACTAATTGCTCAGTAAGTAAACCTACTATGCTACTCCTTCTTCCTCCGTCACTCATATTCTGAATTTCTTTCCTTACATCAAACTTCTCTATTCTTCTCTGGTCTTTTTAAAATTCTAGTTTCTCGCTTACTGATATGTAACCACAATTAGTAAAGCTAATTCTGGATAGTAGAAATGGCATAATGCATATGCACAAATGCATAGGAAATGCATTTTCTTTTATGTATTTCTGTTTTCTTATTCTATTTTCTTTCTTTTTCTGTGTTTCTCTTCTTTCTTTCTTACAATTCTTTCTTTCTTACAATTCTTTCTGTCTTACTATCTTTCTTTCTTTCTATTCTGGTTTGCTGATCATACTCGGTTGAGACATGGATTTGGAACCCTGGCCGTGTGAGTGTATTATGAAATTCTTACTGGGTACAGTCCTCATCCACATGCACTTCTAACGGACTGTATAAATTCTTCTTTCTACTCTGAGGCCGCTCACTAAAGGCGGCGTGCATGTGGGGCTATTCTGTTTCTTTGTCACTCATGGGCTCCCTATCGCAAAACCTTCTCTTCTCTTATCTTTCTTTTAAATAAGAATTCAGTTTCTTTTCTTTTCTTTAATAATTGATCTATAATGAATTTTCTTTTCTTTCTTTCTCTTTGTTCTTTAATGTTCTCATATATGTATGTATGCATGTAGATGGGCTTATTCTTGTTATTCTTTCTAAATTCAAATGTTTAAATGCAAGAATGCAATATGGCATGTGGACATGTCATTCTCTACCATCTATAAACTCATATCAAAATAACAAGCTATCATATTTTTGCATGCACTTCACTTAGACATTTCATCAAACAATTTGTATGCACATACAAACACTAAAATGGCTATACTTCTACATCTCTCTCAAGCCACCAAAATTTGGAGCAAAACTCCCTAAAATCAACTTCAAACCTGGCCAGGAAATCACACTCTACAATTCTACAATTCTACTGCAATTCTTTCATAAGTCATCCAAACTTCCACCAAGTCACCACATACATACATATAAGAATCTCTCTACATAATTATTGCTCAAATCATAACTAGGGTTGGATTCAATTACCTTAGATGTGAGCAACACAAACACTTTAGTCTTCCCTTTGTACAACTCTCTTTCTCTTTAACCCTAAGCATATAAACCATAAGAATTCAACACTTTTAAAAAATTTAATCTCACATCTTAGTGCAAGAATCTTACCTTTGAATGCTTAAGATTGAAATTCCACCAAAAGTGAACCAAATTCTATGGATTTCCTTGGACAATAATTGGAGAAAATTTGAGAGTTTTGGGGGAGGAAGGTGGCATGAAAAGGGGTAGAAGTGGCTAGGGTTTCATCTCTTGAACCCTTAATATCACATAATATTATTTATAGGTTCTCATTTTACCCTTGCAAAAAAAAAAAAAAAAGAAATGCTTAATTTGATGAAAAAAATAATTGTTTGTTATAGACAATTTTCCTTTTTTTTTTTTATTAATGCTGATTTTAACAAGTGATTTATATAGTTTGTATTATTATATATATATATATATATACTATATATATATATATATATATATAAGTCGAGATATGTCTATAAAATTTAACAACTTCCATGAAAGATTCAAAAAATGAATTGAAATTGAAAGAAAAGGAAAAGGAAAAATTAATTGCACACAACCTCAAACAAAACAATTATACGTATATTTATTCGTAGATACAAGATAATATTAACCATACATGTGTATTCTACTCTTCTCGCTCTAAAGTTTAGAGAAAAATCAAACGCTTAGCTTTGGTTTCCCGGTTGATTGTCGAGTAAGGAGAAGCAATAAAAAATCCATACGCCCTCCCCATCTATTTTGGACATTAAGAAAGATTAATTTTAATTTACTCAAATATCTCAGTCTTGAATTTAACATAAAAAGGAAAAACTTAAACACAATAGTGTTATCATTTTGATGTAATACCACTCCACATATTTATATAAAAATATCATAAATAAATTGTGAATTACATTTTTGTATTTATTTGTTATTATAATAACAATAACAATAATAATAATAATAATAATCTCAAAACAACATAAAAACTTACACCTTGATTTTACACAAAATTTGTGTTCATCACACTGATAGCCACTAATATCTAAAATATAAACTTTGGGTGAAAAAGTAATATTTTAAAACTTTTTGAGTGGAAAAAGTCATTAAGGCAAACCTTGGGTGGGAAAACATTGTTTACTCGTAATAATATTCTCAAAAGTCAAAACATAATTTTAGACACAATTGGTTTTTTAGTTCATTCTAATATGTCAATCTTCCATTCAAAATTGAAACAACAATATAAGAAAAATGAAAAATTGAACCTATTTGATTTGTAATTTAAAAATAATTTTTAAAAATCAAAATACAATTTAAAATTTTGAGTTGTATTTTAATATTTAAAAATTTATCCGATATAAAATGTTAAAATTGATTTTAAATTAAAAATTGTTGAAAATTGTGAAAATGACTTTTAATCATTTTTTAATTTTACATTAGTTTTTAGGATTGTATTCGCAAAATGTTTTTGAAAACAATTCTACTTATTTTTAGCAAACTCATTTTCATAAAATTTGTTGTATACCTTGTTTTAAAAAGCAAATAATTGTATTTAAATTCTATATCTAACCGACCCTTGTATATAATATTGTTGTTATTTTGATGTAATATTAATACCACTCTGCATTTTATAAAAATGCATATATCATAAATAAACTATGAATTGGATTTACATCTTTCTTTTTTTTTTTTTTTTTTTGGTTATTATAATAATACAAAAAGCTGCATGAAATTTTACACTTTGACTGCACATAAAATCTAAAATAAAGAATTATGTAATATAATTATACATAATATAAATGATTTAACATAATTTATTAAAATAAGGTTAATTATGTATTAATTGTTAACATAATTATACATTCTAAAATATTAATTATTTTTACAATAATTAACTCCAAAATTTATAAGTTGACAATTAAAATAATTTCATTAAAACTTTTATGAAGTTAAATTTTTCAATAAAAAAATATACATTATAGATGGAATAATTCAATAATGCTAGGTTTGCAACCTTTTTTTACAACATTCTCTCACAATCATCGACGCAGCAACTCATCATTAGTCAATTCGCAAATAAGTAAGTGAGATCCATTTTACAAGTTGACCAATGACAAACTGTTACGTCGAAGATTGTGAGAGAATTTTATGAAATTATGTTATAGACCTAGCATTACTCAGAATAATTCTCTAGTCAAAACGTCCTGATATAAGCTTATCTGAACCATGACATATGCTAGATTGTAAAATATCATTTTTGTCTAATATAATGAATCCAATGATAAATACATATATCCTCACACTAACAAAATTTATATCAGGACATTTTTGCTGGAGAATGACTTTACAAACATGAATATATAGTTAAAACACTTGAACTTCTTCATTTATTTTTTTTTTGTTAAAATAATCATAAAAGCAACATGAAAAATGTATTATTCTTGCAGAGTAATGCTATATACACTAACCAATGTGTACTAATCCCAATACTAACATTAAAAATTGTAAAAAAAATTTAAAGAGAATTTCAAATTGAATAATACTGTGCGTACTAACGGATTTTACTAACCAATGTACTAACCTTTGTTAAAATCACACATAGTACCCGTACTATGCGCATGATACACGTACTATGCTTTAAGTTAGTACACCAGTTTGTAAAATCCATTAGTATCCATAGCATTACCCAATAAGAATAATACTTTGCGTACTAACGGATTTTACTAACCAGTATACTAACCTTTGTTAAAATCATACATAGCACCCGCACTATGCGTATGATACCCGTACTATGCTTTAGTTAGTACACAGATTAATACCCATCCGTTAGTACCCATAACATCACTCATTTAATAATCTCCAAAAATCACTAGAACGCTTGAGACTTTGCGATCGCTTGAGGTGGATTAAATTAAACACATATATACCCCTTAAAACACAAGTTAAAATAATCTATACAAACAATGGAAAAGTCATTAGTAGCAGTCCAAAATTATGCAACTAGAGATTATATAAACAAGATGATTACTTTATCGAAATTTTGCCAAGAAACTTGCAACAAGCAAAATAAAAATAATTCATTAATTTTAACTAAATAAAATATTTCCAACTGCATAAACGGTTAGAAGTGCATAAACAGATAAAGGGTATACAAATTCTACATTTTTATTGTAGCAGCAAAAAAGAACTTGATTCTGCTATTATATACAAGAAGTTGTAAATCTTCTTTTGGGTATATATGCATATAACATAATGAGCAAGAAAGCGGCAAAGTTTACGAAGAACAAGAAAGCATACAAACACCAGGTCGATATGCCCAGGCTGGGGGCAGGCGCGCATATTTTTCCATTCCAGGTTGCTCATCGTATGGTTGTTCCATGATCTTGAGAAGCCTTTGAACTTCTGAGAAATCGCCTTGCTCAGCTACGTCAATAGCGCTCTGGCATAAATAGTTTCTGAGAACGTATTTGGGGTTCACTGAATCCATGGACACCTTCCTTTCCTCGTCTGAGATGCCACTAGAAGCCAGCTGTGGAAGCAAGGAGAAATTAGATGTTGGCTTCGCATTAATGAACTAACAGGTCTACATATTTCGAAAAGCCACGTTTGCCCAAAATAAAGGGATTTGTATGTGCCATGAAAGCTGAAAATGAGCACTCGAAACTGAAAAGTGCAGCATGATCCAAAGGTTTCCAACTTCCAAACAAAATTTTTTGTAAAATTGCCAACACAAGGAGGAAAATGATTCAAACATCTCATCATCAGGGAAATGAAGATGAAAAAGGATAAAAAAATGTTTCATTTTACCTAGAAAAAATTCATTAGATATAACACAATTTCAATATTGGTTGTAAAAACCTTACAAAAACATATATATTCAAATAGACAAAAGCTGTATTTTACCTCGTGAATATAGGATTGCACCCAGCTGATCCATGCCTCCTTCCGCTCCTTGCCAATATCTAGCAAAGCAGCCTTCAGTGGAACTAACAACTCACCCTCTGGAATGCTGGTATCAGCTTTGAGGTTGGATAGTAACCGGAAGAAATTTGTGTAATCAACTTTATCAACAGCCAAGTTGTTAAGAAGTTTACTGATCAGCTGTTTATTGTACTTTGGGAGACCAAGTTTCTTCGTCATAATAGCTTGATACTCGTCCATGAATTTTGTTCCATATCTGTAACAAGCCAAAGCATGCATGCATCTGTCATCAACTGCCCACTACAGAACAAAGGCGGCTTTTAAGAGGAAGACAGGATCAACTAAAAGATACCTTTCCATGGCGTAATTTGACTCTTTATCATCTATCAGCTTGGCAGCTGATAGAGTTGAGGCGAATTGTGCAATATTCCACAAGCCAATATCGGGCTGATTAGCAAAACAGTATCTTCTTCCTGGAAGATCCGTAGTATTTGGGGTATAACTTGGATCAAAAGCATCCAAAAACCCAAACGGACCATAATCAATAGTGAGACCCAAAATGCTCATATTGTCCGTATTCAGCACACCGTGAGTAAAACCAACACCCTGCCATCTTGCAACCAAGGAAGCGGTACGCTCAGCAATCTCCACTATCCATGCTGATGTAATCCAGGAAAAAATAAAAAGATCAGAAAAAAGTTAAAGTTGTACCCAAAGTATGTCCAGAAATAATCAATGCACTTGCAAAAACCCATATATAAAAAGGTGGATCTAATGGTAGATGAGAGAAGAAGAGTTTGTTGACAAAAAGTGAGCACACAATCAGTTTTAGCATTATAAGCTGCAGTAAATGGCATGCAGCTAATATTGAAAGTTAAGAACATTTAAAGTTAACATCACAACGTGAACCTGGCTACCTGCCTCAAACAGAGCCTTCATTTTTCCCGATAGGAAACAAAAGAACTTCCATTTGTTACATCAAAGAAGAAAATGGATAAATGCAGACACTCTCCAACCAGTCATGAGCCCCCTATTTCAGTTCAAAGTAGCTCATAATTTATGTATAAATTCTTTCCTAATTTCACCCGGAACTTATAGGGATCACATAGTGAAAGTAAGTCCATCCCAATCAATTCCAAATCTATAAAACCAGAGATAGGACCAGGAATGCTGGTCACTAAATGATTATCCTAAATAAGCATAAGAGTTTCATCCAGTGAGAACAACCAATCCATAGCCGTATTAACTGAAATTGTGCTTTAAAACCTTCGAAAGAGCACAAAGACATTAAAGACAT